GGGAAGCCTGCTTCTCCCTCTCCCACTCCCCCTGCTTGTGTTCCCTCTCTCGCTGTGTCTCTCTCTGTCAAATGAATGAATAAATAAAATCTTTAAAAAAATTTAAATTGCACTTTATATCAGAGCGTGCCACACCCAGATACTTGAAAGCATCCAGTGTAGGGTCCATTCAGTTGTGAACGTGGGAACACCAGACTCTTTGGGGAAATACTGAAGTCTTAGCACTCTTGCCCAAGGAGCTCCCACAGTTCATTTCAGTGAATCACGCCAGGGTAACGACAGACGCTGGCTCTTTCACATATTTTCTCAGATCAGGTTTTCATTATAATGCATTATGGTTTTAAATCATTTAAAAATGTGCTTAGGGCATTTCCAAGCTACTTTCAAAAACTGGTAAAGGCGAGGACACGCCTCCCAGAATTGGGGAGTGCCCAGCAAAGGACACTTTTTTCAAAGATTTCTTCAGGGTCTTCCTCACATCCCCACCCCCACCCCCGACCTCCACCGATGAAGGCTTTGACTCTGCTATGAACTCCTGTCAAAAGGCCATCAACAACACGCTGAGATTGGGTGGAAATAAGTCCTCTGGGTCAACACTGGTTTTTTCTGCATTCTGACATTCTCAGGAACTGAACATCCTGTCTGAGTTAGACCACACCTTCTGGAAAATGAGGGCAAATCTCAAACACTCCAAGTATTTGTTGATTTTTCAGAGGATATACCCTGTTGGCATTACCCAATATGACAGACTTCTGACCCTTGAGGACCCATGTATTGAGAAACAAAGTGGCATATTCTCAAGCTCTGTTACAACTGAATTCCATTTGTAGTTCCTTCAGATGACCAACCCTCATTTTTCAGTCTAAGCACTTTAATTCGATTTCAGTGACAGCAAATATTTTGCATAAAGTTAGGCCGATTGGAAAAGGTTTTCTTACATTTGAAAAGTTGATAGTGATGGTCTTTCACATTTGTCAAAAGAAATGTTTTACTACTTTTTAAAATTGATTAATAACAATATTAATATTTATTGTGCCGGTTTTATTTTTATTTTTCTAATTTGGCGATGCCAGTAGCCGATACTTTATAAAGCTACACAGCCGTTTGAAAGATGCAGAAATTTACACTGATGGACGCGAAGAACTATTTCCCAGTTAAGCTTCACTTGAATGGTTTTCAAATATAGAATACAAGGTTATATCAAATACAGACAAATACAGGAAAGCAAATTGACAAATGCCTGTCAATCATTTTGGAAATACTGACCTAAATTCCTAAAATAAATTTAAAAACTATCGAAGAGGGCACCTGGGTGGCTCAGTTGGTTAAGCGACTGCCTTCGGCTCGGGTCATGATCCTGGAGTCCCGCATCGGGCTCCCCGCTCAGCGGGGAGTCTGCTTCTCCCTCCAACCCTCCCCCCTCTCATGTGCTCTCTCTCTCTCATTCTCGCTCTCTCAAATAAATAAATAAAAATCTTAAAAAAAAAAAACTATCGAAGAAACACATTGTAGACTGAACCGGCTGTTAACTTTCATCTTCAAGTACCCTGAGCCACCATTAATTCCAAATTTTTGCATGTGAAGACAAAATGTTTTTCAGAGAATACATGTGATAGAATGAAATAAATAATTATAAAGACATATATTTATTCATTTGCCCACATAACAAATTTCATCTTACCTTAATAATATAGTTTAAATGCAATAAGGAAAACAGCTCATGAAAAGAAACATTTTCTTGTAACAAAGTAATACTCTTTCCATAAAACCAAACAGACCCCGTATCTGTTAAAAATACTTAAATTTCATTAGGGGCGCCTGGGTGGCTCAGTTGGTTAAGCGGCTGCCTTCAGCTCAGGTCGTGATCCCAGGGTCCTGGGATCCAGCCCCTCATCGGGCTCCCTGCTCAGCAGGGAGCCTGCTTCTCCCTCTCCCTCTGCCTGCCTCTCTGCCTACTTGTTCTATCTCTCTGTCAAATAAATAAATAAAACCTTAAAAAAAAAAACCCTAAAGATCCTTAGAAAAAATGAACTAGTTTCAATTGCACTTTATAGGGGTGCCTGGGGGGCTCAGTCGGTTAAGCGTCTGCCTTTGGCTCAGGTCATGATCCCGGGGTCCTGGGATCGAGTCCTTTAATCAGGCTCCCTGCTCCGCGGGAAGCCTGCTTCTCCCTCTCCCACTCCCCCTGCTTGTGTTCCCTCTCTCGCTGTGTCTCTCTCTGTCAAATGAATGAATAAATAAAATCTTTAAAAAAATTTAAATTGCACTTTATATCAGAGCGTGCCACACCCAGATACTTGAAAGCATCCAGTGTAGGGTCCATTCAGTTGTGAACGTGGGAACACCAGACTCTTTGGGGAAATACTGAAGTCTTAGCACTCTTGCCCAAGGAGCTCCCACAGTTCATTTCAGTGAATCACGCCAGGGTAACGACAGACGCTGGCTCTTTCACATATTTTCTCAGATCAGGTTTTCATTATAATGCATTATGGTTTTAAATCATTTAAAAATGTGCTTAGGGCATTTCCAAGCTACTTTCAAAAACTGGTAAAGGCGAGGACACGCCTCCCAGAATTGGGGAGTGCCCAGCAAAGGACGTTTTTTCAAAGATTTCTTCAGGGTCTTCCTCACATCCCCACCCCCACCCCCGACCTCCACCGATGAAGGCTTTGACTCTGCTATGAACTCCTGTCAAAAGGCCATCAACAACACGCTGAGATTGGGTGGAAATAAGTCCTCTGGGTCAACACTGGTTTTTTCTGCATTCTGACATTCTCAGGAACTGAACATCCTGTCTGAGTTAGACCACACCTTCTGGAAAATGAGGGCAAATCTCAAACACTCCAAGTATTTGTTGATTTTTCAGAGGATATACCCTGTTGGCATTACCCAATATGACAGACTTCTGACCCTTGAGGACCCATGTATTGAGAAACAAAGTGGCATATTCTCAAGCTCTGTTACAACTGAATTCCATTTGTAGTTCCTTCAGATGACCAGCACGGTTGAGAAGGAACACTTTCAAACGGGATAGAAATCGTGTTCTCCCACGGCCTACCAAAGGAAGCGCAATGCTACTAATATTCGTGATGAGATCAGGGCCACAACAATAGAGTTGGGAGTACAAAAATTGCTATTTTTATAATGTTTGCCTTTTGTCTAATTGTGCACACTAAATCACAAAACAGACGTGTGTTTTTAGCACAGGAAACTGAGCGATTTAACCGAAGCCTATTTAAAAAAAAAAAAAGTCTGGAAAGGGGTATCCATAAGCATATGCAAATGTAAGAGTCAAGGTATTTTATTCTATTTTCAGCTTGTTTAATATTTATTTTAGCATGCCAAGAATCCCGCTCTCTTTTGAGCAGGAATTTCCGCAAATGTTTTTATGCTTCTCCTCTCACTTGGAGCCTGTAGACTGGAGAAGTAGCCTTCAAGTAGTAAGTTAACAACAAAAGATCAGCATCATGTGATAGATCCTTCTTTTTTTTGTTTCAAAAGACTAACTCTATTTTTTCTATATCTGTATTTGTTTCTATCTCTCTATATAGAAAAACACTAGTGTACATTCATGCCTCCCATTCCAGATTAGCCCCACAAGAAATATTCTAGCTTTCCTCCTTTCTTATTTGTAACTTTCTTCTCTGACATTGAGAAATGTTGCTGCCATTATCCTCATCATATTTGCTTATATCTTCAATCTCTCTGAGTATTGTTATCTTAAAAAAAATTTTTTGAGCGAAGTTGAAAAAATGTGACATTAGCTTCAGGTGTACAACAGTGATTTGACAAGTTTATACATCATGCTATGGTCACCGCCAAGTACAGCTACCATCTGTCCCATTACATCGCTATTATAATACCATTTACATTCCTCATGCTCTGCTTTTATTCCTGTTACTTACTCATTCCATAATTGGAAGCCTGTATCCCCCTCCCCCTTTTACCCATTTGTCTAACCCCCACCCCCATCCCCTCTGGCAACCATCAGGTTGTTCTCTATATGTATAGTTCTGTTCTGCTTTTTGTTTGTTTATTCATGTTTTTTAGATTCCATTTATGAGTGGAATCATATGGTATTGGTCTTTCTCTATCTGATTTATTTCACTTAAAGTGATACCCTCTAGGTCCATTCATGCTGTCTCAAATGGGAAGATCTCATCTTTTTTTTTATGGCTGTGTAAAATTCTTGTGTGTGTGTGTGTGTGTGTGTGTGTGGAGGGAGAGAGAGCGCAACATATTGTATATATTGTAATTTGTATATATGGTAGTATTTTACATATGTAGTAATTATCTCTCTCCCTATATATATATATATCTCTCTCCCTATATATATATATCTATATCACATTTTCCTTATCCATTCAGAAAGACTAACTCTTTGTTACTTAAATTGGGTGCACAGACCCACAGCATAACATTCGACTGGAGCTTTCCAGAGCTACAGTGGGGCTCAGGCCCCACCCCGGAAGCCGCATTACCACAAGAGGCCCAGGTGATCTGCATCCACATCAGAGTTGGAGAAGCACTGGGCTAACTCACCAGGCCACAGATGACAGAGACTCTGGAATCTGGCATGTTTTATTTTCCAGATTGATAATCACTGGGTGCAGCAAAAGCTGGGCATCCACGGTCACAACTGGTCTTGCTCTGCAGGGAGAAGACACAGGGTTATAATGAGCCACATGAGTGACACCCCGCTTCCAGAGGCCACTGCCAACATTCCCAACCTTTGTGCCAAGAATTTGCCTCACTGTGTGAGCAGGTGGGCTCCAGACTTAACTCATTACCTTAAAACATATGTGGTAGCTCATGAATACAAATAAAGGATGCTATGGGTCCGTCAAGCAAAACCACACTCACGGAGCTGCTTTGTGTGTGGAGTGGGCTCCAGGTATTTTGGAGATATCGCTGTGAAGTGCGCTCTGCGATCTGCTATATTCGTATCTGAGGAAACACATCCTTCTATACTCACCCATGCCTGTAAGTCCTTGACTTTTGCAAATTTCCTTTCCTGATGGGCTGATGGTTTTTTATTTTGTTGGATAATTTTCTATCCAAGCTTTGCAGATTGAGCTAAGCACATAAGGGTGGGCTGACAAGATCATTGTTGTGCTTTACACCAGAGCCGTGGTTCTCAATCCTGACTGCATGATAGAAGCACCCAAGGAGTTCCCAGAGAGGTCAAAAAACCTCAGGGGGTCAGGGCCAGGCGTCGGAATGTTAACCAAACCCTCCAGGTGGTTCTAATGTGCAGCCAGGTGTGAGGAGAGGGACTAAATGTACAGCAAACTCAATTTTCACCAAGGTGAGGATAACAAGCCATGCAAGTAACTCACGGGGGAAGGGGCCTGGGCGATTTTTAAAGCTCCCTTCCAAGATAGGAGAGCTAAGAGCCAAGTCTCCAGATGACAACGTGAAATGCTATTGCGTTGGTAAGTTTTCCTCTGAGGGGAGGGAGGGCTGTGCTTTGGGACGGTGTGTGTTTAGGGCACGACTTTAAACAGTTTCATGATTACCACAACAGCCCCCCTGGGAATTTTCCCGAACTCCTTTACACTATTTATCTGTGCTTTGTTACGTAATTTTGTTTTTAATATTGTGTTAGCTCCAGTCCTTGAAAAAGCAGATGGTAAGACCGGGTTAGACGTGCAAGACAATCACTGGGGCAAATACGTATGAGGGGGAAAAAAAGGGCGGGAGGGGGGAGGCTGGCAGCCAGCCGTCAGACTGCGGTGGAGGTCTGGTCCCTGTGAAGGAGTGAGGGAAGGAATGAGGCCTGGGTGGTGGATTTAGACCTTAGCAACTAGCCCATGAGTTCATCAGCCCTGAGTGGGGCATCGTCACGGCCCCTGTACGCACAGCCCCATCCTTTAGGTACCTGAGCTTTCCAATCATCTGATTCTCTATAACCCAAAGTGGTGAGTGGTGGGTATACATCAGTCTATGAGTATGTCTTGGAACTGATGGAGAAAATCTCACTTACTTGAGGAGACCTAACTTTAGAATCGCACTGGGGGTTGGGCTAGGTTCGTATTATGTGCCCAGAACATGTGGGGCTGCTCTCTGCCTTTTGTTTTGATATCCTGATCTAATGTCTTGAATTCCTATAAAACTTTGTTTTTAAGAAGAAAAAAGAATCTAAAATTTTTGAGCACCCATTGTCTACCAGTAACTTACTATTCTGTATACTTTACCTCCAGATTGCCACTTAATCCTCTTCACAAAAATAAACTTCTAAAGCAACTATTGTTATTCCTCTTTAACAGACAGAAGAATCAGAGGCTCAGAAAGTTGTAGGAACTTGCCCAGGACTACACACGAGTGAGTGTGTGGAATGGCTAGGCTTTTGAATCTAGACCTGTCAGATTTGAACTTTTGTTCAATACTTGTTTTTGGAGTATTATTTTGGTACATTCCATTCCCTAACTTAGTCTCCACACCTGATTTATATAAACCTCCTCCCACTGGTACCCCTTCTCTATAAGCACATGTTAATGCATTTCCAAGGCAAAGAGAAGAATTCAGACATAGTAACATCTAAAGAATGCATCATTTTATAAGTTCTGCTAAGATTCATATCTTCATTTAACATTATGTTGGTAGGGGCTGGAAGTTTGGTCATGAGGTATGAGATTAAAAAGACAGAGAGATGAAAGAAAGGAGAACAGTTGAGAGCAAAACTTCCTCCAAACTTTAAAAAGAGCATCTAAATGTTCTCCAAAATAAGTAGTTGGGATATACTCTTGAAGGGGAAACGAGCAGCAAAAAGGAAATGCACTTGAAACAATTAGAGGAACATTTGCATAACACAAACCACGTACCTGTAAACAGCTACTTTTCCTGTTCCGAATGCACCTACAATTAAATCTAAAAACAGACAAAAACTCAAAACACATGCACACATTTTATAGAAACAATCTAAGCTCATATTCATAAATAGCATACAGTGCATCCTGAAATGCTGATTGTAGAGTGAGGCTCATCCAGTAAGAGCAGTAAATTGCACCTTCCTTAAGACATTCTGGAAAGGATGTTGGAACTTCATTGTAACTCAGTAGGACACACAAACCAGTAGATCTCAATCCCTTCTGGACTCATGAAAGCCAGCTTTCTAGCAATGCTTTAAAAATGCATCGTAACGCCATTTCTCCTATCCTCCAGACTGCAGGCCTACATCTTAAGGAAAGTGAAAGGGAAAAACCATGTGCTTTAGTGCCTATATGTACTGGGCATGTTACACATCCTGTTTTCCCTTTCCCTCCAGCAATGACCCTGAGAAGCTGGTCTTATTATTTATTACAAAATGGGACATTTCGACTGTCCATCCTTTTGACACAACCATTTGCTCTTTATGAACAGTGTGGATGGTGAGTATCCTCTTGGCAAAGGGATTGGTAGTTTATGAACTAATTAATGTGTCATTTTAATGATCTTAAATAACAACAACAACAACAACAATAATAATAAATAGCACATGTTGAACACTTACTCTAGGCCGGGAATTCTTTTGAAGGGTTGACCTTAATTATTCCTAATAAGAAGCTAGGAAGTCTCCAAAGTCTCTACTATTTGCACAGTTTTGCAGGTGGGTAAATGGAGTCTTAAGAAGGCGAACCTATAAATTCACTGAAGTCCACACTAGGCGAGAGGTGGGGCTGGTCTACGGCAGTGCTGGGTAACAGAACAATCTTAGGCTGTCTGAGGGGTAATGCTCACACTGATTGCAGTGCTTGGCTAAAACACAGGTAAAGCAGTCTGTTTTCCTAAATCTAATGTATAATGATTCCTCTTGGTAGATGCAACCAAACCAACATACAAATGACAATGGCTGAACCTGTAGAATAAAATTTAGGTGTTGATATGAGAAAACTGGACCCGGTAGAAATAAGGGCCACAGAAGAAAACTTACACAGTTGAGACCATAAGTGGTTAAACATCCTAGGAGAGCAGAAATGAAAATGAAAAAAAAAAGAAAAAAAAGAGGAGGACTTCTCTGGCCAGTCCATATGGAAAACCAATCAAGGAATTAATTGGTTTAATGGAGCCTGCACAGGAAAATGATTTGTAGCCACGTTCCCTCGGCACTCGCCTTTCCTGGACGTAGGAGCAGCATCGGACTGCAAGCATGATTCCCCTTGGAGGCCGGAAGTGACCCTGGCCTGAGCCCTCAGCTAATGATGGATGGAAACAGGCGATAACCAGGAACGGCCGCTTCCTTACCCCTCCAGTGGGATAACTCTGGAAGCACATTCTTCCCTGTCTCCCACATGTCCCCAGCTCCCACTACCCACTGTGTCAACCTGTTTCATACCCATCTTCCTTCCCATGGCCTTCCTCCTCCTCCCTTAGCAATGTTTCTTTGGACCATTTCTCACATGACCCGCTTGTTTTCTAATCCTTGTCTTAATGTCTGTGCTGGAAGAACCCAACCTAAAACAACAATATTTCTTACTAAAAATGTTTGTTTTTCAAAAGAAAGGGACTTCAACATGTTCCAGGTTAAAACCACAGTTGAGATGTCTCGTGTTTTATAGACACAGAGTCAGATTCAGATCATAGGTTCGAGACTGGACTCCCAAACTCTGTATCTAAAAAAGTGCATATGCGAATGTTCAAAGAAGTCAAATGCAGTTCGTTTTGAAGAATTCTTTATTAGTGAGATTAAAAGACACAGTAAGAAAAAAGACAATGTGACCAGCTATGGCTTATGGCATTAAATAGTCTTTTCCAAAGATTCAAGTCTTTGAAGCCAGAAGCCAAAGTTTCCGAGTCTACCAATTTTTAAAATTGTATCAGAGTTTGAACTTTTTCAAATATTTTCACATTTATTTTTTCCTGTTACAGTCATCTCTTCCAGCATATCCATGCATTTTTGCTATGTCAGGGGAAGAAGAGCTACTGATCTGAGAAAATGTGAACTCTGTTCTCCCTGTGTACCATGCTCTCCAGGAGTTACACAGAACACCGGTGGCCCTCAGCCTGATCCCTATCTATTGACCTGACACCAGACAAGAGAGTTCTATTATGAAAACTGATTCCAGAGGAATTATGTGCTTTGTTTTTGGGGGCTCCAAATATGGTGAAATATTAATATACCAAGATTAGATACTTTATAAAAGGTGAATTTTAAGGATGGACTCCTCTGGAAATGGCCAAGAAAACAAGACTGTGAGCTCTTCCAGGGCAGGAATCTTTCTTTGGGCTCACATGTCACAACTACTTCATGGAATGGTACAGGGTGAAATAAATGGAGAAAGAAAGAATCTTTGCATCCACAGTACCAGGCACTGGGCCAGATTGGGAACAGAGGCTTTATAAATACTTGAAATAAGAGAATAAGCAATAATGAGATAATGTACTAAAGATGAGCAAGGTGAAGAAAATGGGACAGTTGTTAAGACAGGCTCATGGAAACCGTAGTTAAATTCTGCTGGATTTCTGCATATGTGAGTGTGCACAGATGCATGCACACACACACACACAAGCTCCAGATTCTAGAAAATTCCAGAAAGTACAGAAGCTGCATCACAACTCGATCATCATTTTAGATAAGAAGATGAGAGACACCCCCTGACAGTAATGAGCAAGAGGCCTTTTCCTTTAGAAACTTTGATTCCTGTGCCTCAGGGTGGGAATTTTACTTCTCTGGAAAAATAAAGTAACTGGCAAAAAAGTCCACAATTTTCTTCATGAGAATGTGGCCACAGTTATTCAGAGGCCAAGAAAACAGTTATCTACCAGGAAAGTATGTTTGCCTTTGGAGACACCACCTTGGTATTGTGCCTGCTGGAAAAGGCCAGAAACATTTATGCTCAGGACCTTAAACTTCTGGGATCTCTCTAAGGGGGAGAATTGATCTGCCATTTTGTGTTCCTAACTGATTTGCCCTTTCAAAATATGTGATTTGTTTTAATAAGTACTATGTGGTTTCCATATACATATATACATATATATATACACACACATAGTTATATGATCCTTATATACATACATATATATTGATATTTGTGTATGTGTGTATGTCTATCCACATATACATGTCTGTACAGATAGACATGTATATATATTCATGTATATATGCACATACACACTACTTTTTTAATCTTACATAATTCCGTCATGCTTAGGAATTTAAAGGATAATCTGAAGAGAAAGTAATTTTCGTACTGATACTTGGGATTTGTAACTCTGCAAACTTTCTTTCTTGCTTTGAGATAACAGGTCTTATACCATTATCTAATGTTTATTTTCCTTTCTTCTAGAAACTTCTTAAGGGCAGATTCTGAAAACAAACAAAAAATTTTGCCTTTATATAAGACACAGCTATTTTTTTTTTCTTGAAGAAATAACTGGTGGCTAAGATCCGTTCTTTCCCCTTAATCTAAAATTATTCCCAAAATGCTGGAGCCCTTTGTTATCACCTCACTTTGCCTGGGAAACAGTTTATTTTCCTTTTGGCCTTTGATGAAACAACTGTGTACTTTTAAGGATTCAAAAAGGGGAACATTAGCATGAATGCAGGCTCAGTTGGCAAGAAAAAATAACCCTAAAAATGTGAGGTCATAGGATATGTATTACACCTCTGTTCTGTATTCTATTTCTCCAAAATTATTATTATTAAACGAGGAAGAAGAAAAGAGCCAAGCTTTTAAAGTGGTACTTGGACTATAGAGTCTGATTTGATTAACCTAGGAAGGAAATTTTAGAGTTGGAAGAAGTTCTATGTGAAACAGCTTTGTTTTGAGCGTGGGTGTAGGTGGGCAGGAGGGAGTGGAAACTTTCTAGGGGTGAGGGGACAGGGGCCAACGGGAGGGGAGACAGCAGGAAGAGCAGCTACAGTAATGCGTTACAGGATCACTCAGAATCCTTTAGTGGAAAGTCCCTTTGGCCATCCAAGCGTCTACATTTCACAAGATGTGAGCCTTCTTACTTTTCCTTCCTACTCTCTGGTCTCGCTGAGAAATGTACTAATGCTTATTATGTCTGTGGCTAAAGATGCTGTCAGAGCCCTCCTTTTATATTTTGGAATTAAGAAACATTTACTATTTTAGAATAATCCTAGACAATGAGAATTGCCATAAGGAACTTCCAAACAATTGAGAAATATGGTAACGTACAGCTAATAGTTGTATAAAAAGATTACAATGACTCCAGACAGAAGGCCTCCTTAAACGTGACCAAAACAATGTGGAAATCACAAAGGAATTTTAAAGTGTAAATTCTTTTGCAAAAAGTCAAAGCAGGGTCCAAAGAGAAATGAAAGGAATGGGGGAAGATGTTTATAATGTATATGCCTGATCAGATGTGAGTATTTTTCAATGCTTACAAGAATGTCTGGCACATAGTAAAATAAATAAATATTAATTACTATTAACCCTAATTCATACTGAGCCCACACAAATTAATAATAAAACTATAAACATTCTAATAAAAAGGTTGTAAAGAGGCAATTCACATAAAAATAAATAGCCATGACCAATAAATATATAAAAAGAGGATCAGCCTCATTAGTCAGCAAAGAAATCCAAACGAAAGGAACAATGAGATATCATTTTTGACCTTTCCATCGGAAGAGATGAAGGATTTGTGGCAGGCAGCGTTGGGCGAGGACTGAGAACTCAGGAGGTAAATGGGCACGATTTTCTTGAAAGGAAGTTTGCCAATTGGTCTGACAAAGCAAACTTTTTGCCCTGGCATTTGCACTTCTAGGAATTTGTCCTGAGGCTCTAGTGGATAATTGTGTGGACATGCGTCAGACAAAAGCTAGCTTTCTAAGCACTTTGAATATATGAATTCTTTAGTTATAATAATCCCAGGAGGTGCATACTTTAATTATTCCCATTTAAAAATGAGGAAAATGAGATACA